GTCACAGCTCACAGCAACCTCAAACTCTTGGGCTTAAGCAATTCTCTTGCCTCAGCCTCCCAAGTAGCTGGGGCTACAGGCACCTGCCACAACGTCCGGCTATTTTTTGTGTGTTACAGTTGTCATTGTTGTTTGGCAGGCCTGGGGGAGGGGGTTTAAATCTGCCAGCCCCAGACTATGTGGCTGGTGCCATAACCGCTGACCTACAGGGGTTGAATCTGACTCCCTCAAAACTTAGTAACAGCCTAGTGTTGACTGGAAGCCTTACTGATAGCATAAATGGTTGATTAACACATTGTATATGATATATATATTATATACTGTATTCTTACAATAAAGGAGGCTAAAGAAATTATTAAGAACACCATAAGGAAGAGAAAACATATTTACTATTCCTTAAGTGGAGGTGGATCATCATAAAAGTCTTCACCCTCGCATCTTTACATTGAGTAGGCACAAGAGGAAAGGTTGGTCTTGCTGTCGCAGGGGTGGGCAAAGGCAAAAGACGTGAAAGGACAGACTGGAGAGGCAAGGCACGCTTGACGTAATTTTACAAAAATACATCATAATTTCTGACTTTCTTGCTTTTCACTTATCTAAAAATGTTTCTACATAACAATCCTTCTTCCACCATTTGGTTTAGAGCACGTACCACAGAAGAATCTATGTCATAAAAGAGATCAAAGCAGTCCTGAATACTCAGAGCCCTTCTGCCACACAGTCTAATGGCAGCTGTTTTTCTGGTAGCACTTCTATGTCATCTTCCTCACTGTCTGGTGCTAGAGTGGCAGCGCTTACATCCATCAATTATCTTCTGTTAATTCCTCTGGGTGGTGTCTATTGGCTCTTGAATTTCTCTAAGATTCAAATCTTGAACACTTCCGCTGCCTACTTTTTTTGCCATATCCACAATCTCTTTATGATTTCCTGGATTGGCGTTGTTATAAATCCTGTGAAATCACGTACCATATCTGGCAGGAGCTTACACTGTTTCAGGTTTAATGGCTTTTTCTATAACAACAATGGCATCTTCCATGGTGCAATCCTTCCAGACTCTCATCATGTTCTCTCTATTGGGATTCTCTTCCCTAACATTGACAATCTTTTCTATAGAGTATACAGTAGGCATAATGAACCTTAATGGTCCTTAGGTCCCCTGATCTAGTGGCTAATTTAGAGATGTTGTGTTTGGGGGCAAACAAACCACTTTGACACATTCAGTGTTGAACTTATAGGGGTTCTGGGTGGCCAAGGGCATTGTCGAACATCAGAAGAACTTTAAAAGGCAGTCCATCACTAGCAAGGTACTTCCTGACTTCAGGGAGAAAGCACTGATGGAACCAATCCAGAAAAAGGGTTCTTTTTGCCCAAATCTTCTTACTGCACAACCAATTTTTCTCTTTTCCTTTCAAAGTTTGAAGGTTTGCAGCTTTATAGACAAGAGCAGTCCTAATTATAAACCTGAATACATTTGCACAAAACAGCTGAGTTAGTCTATTCCTTCCTGTCTTAATCCTGGTACTTGCTTCTCTGCCCTACTAATAAATGTTCTTTGTAGCATTCCCCTCATCCCCCAAATAGGGAACTTTTGTTTGCATTAAAAATCTGTTCAGACAGACTTTCCACTCAATTATTTTCTTTTTGCAGTTTTTGGCTGGGGCCAGGTTCAAACCCATCATCTCCAATATATGGGGCCAGCACCCTACTCCTTGAGCCACAGGTACCACCTGACCATCAATTCTTTTCTTTTCTTTCTTTCTTTTTTGAGACAGAGTATCAAGCTGTTGCCTTGGGTAAAGTGCCATGGTATCACAGCTCACAGCAACCTCCAACTCTTGGGCTCAAGCGATCCTCTTGCCTCAGTTTTTCTATTTTTAGTAGAGATGGGGGTCTCACTTTTTGCTCAGGCTGGTCTCGAACATGTGAGCTCAAGCAATCCACCTGCCTTGGCCTCCTAGAGTGTTAGGATTACAGGTGTGAGCCTGGCCTACTCAATTCTTTTCTTTTTTTTTTTTTGAGACAGGAGCCTCAAGCTATCCCCCTGGGTAGAGTGCCATGGCATCACGCTCACAGCAACCTCCAACTCCTGGGCTCAAGCGAGTCTCCTGCCTCAGCCTCCCAAGTAGCTGGGACCACAGGCACCCGCCACAACGCCCGGCCATTTTTTTGGTTGCAGCCATCATTGTTGTTTGGCGGGCCCGGGCTGGGGATTCGAACCGGCCACCTTAGGTGTACGTGGCTGGCGCCTTAGCCGCTTGAGCCACAGGCGCTGAGCCCTCAATTATTTTCTTAATGGCATCTAGGAACTCTTCTGCTGTCTCTTGGTCAACAGAAGCTGTTCCCATTGTCTTCTTGACATTTTTGAGCCAAACCTCTTTCAAAAGTTATCCAGCCGTTTTTTTGTTGGCATTTCCTATCATCTTCCCTTTTAATATAATGACTTCACTTTTTCTCAAATCATATTATAATCTATAGGTATACTTTTTTTTAATAGCAATCCTACACCCACATAAAAGGTATATTTTCAGTACAAGATAAAAGGATTATTTCACAAGGATTCCAAACCAGCTGGTATTGCTTCAGTGTCAGCTTCATGAATTTCCTTTTCTTTTTTCACAACAGTCCTTACACTGGATTTATTCATCTTGAAATGACGGGCAACCTTAGTGGGCAAACTCAACCTATATTACATATCAAGCAGGTCAACTTTTTCTTATAATGTCATGGCTTTTCCCTGGGAGCACTTCCAGCAACACTAGTGTTAGTCAGTGTTTACGGTATTGCACTAACCATGATAGAAAACGTATGAGAACTGTTAAGAAATCACTTTTTACTGGGATATGCAATTTACTGGAAAGATGAACTGCACACACAGTGATGATCAGCATCACATGGCAATTTAAGAAGATATTTTGCGGCATGGTGTCTGTAGTTCAGTGGGGAGGGCGCCAGCCACATATACCAGAGCTGGTGGGTTCAAATCCAGCCCAGGCCTGCCAAAGAACAATGACAACTACAAGCAAAAAACAGTCAGGCACTGTGGCGGGCGCCTATAGTCCCAGCTACTTGGGAGACTGAGGCAAGAGAATAACTGAAGCCTAATAGTTGGAAGTTGCTGTGAGCTATGACACCAGGACTAAGTGAGACACTGTCTCAAAGGAAAAAAAAGAAGATACTTTGCAATTCTTGAGCTCAGTACAATACCAACAAGGAGGTGGCTAAGACATTATTACAGTAGTACAGTATGTATTGAAGTTAATTTTATGCGGTTATGATTTAATAATAATGTATCTTTATGTTTGTTTACATTTTTCTTGACTATAAAAGATACCATGAATGGTCTGTATGCATTTTGATAAAATTTGGCTTTTTCTAATATTCACATATTGTATTTTGCCATATATAATGTGCACTTTTTTGCTCAAATTTTTTAGAAAAAATAAAAAATGCACATTATATTTGGGTAGTATGGCTCAGGATTGCAGGAGCTCAGGGCTCGTGGGGCTGCCACACCCTCCTACCCAGGCCTGCCAGGTGCAGGAACACAGGATTCTAGTCTGTCCAAGAGGATCCAGAATCTGAAGGGAGTGGGCTCCCTCCACCCAGTGCTGTAATTAGGGGAGGGGGTGATGATGGGGCTGGCAGCCATTTGGGGAGAGGGCTGTGGCCTGGCTACATGGAGTGGACCTGGCACTGTACAAGCCCGGGGGACTTGCCTGGCTGCCTGATAGCCAAGTGGCCTCAGAAGCTCTCACCCTACTGGCTGTGCATGTGGTCATCTTAGCCGCAGCCCCTAACATGGTATGGAGGAAAGTGTTCCCAGGACAGAGAGAAAGGGCCGTCTTCACAGAGCAGGAGCTACAGGAGGGCGGTGTGATCTGCATGTTTACCAGGGAAGCATTAGCCCTCCTCAGATGTGTCTCTCCTGGACAAAAGCTGGCCACTTTCTCTAAGAGCATTTTCTTAACAGTTTGGGCCAGAAACATAGGTGTGTACAGGAGCACATTTTACATGGCAAAATATGGTATGTTTTATGGTAGTAATAAAAAAACTAGCATCTACATATATTTTATGCATTCATAACATACCTTTTCCTTAATTTTTTCCCAATATTTCTGGGCTATGGAGTTCATTGAGTTTTTTCAAATTGTTACAATTCTCAAAAAATTTTTCCAATGTATTTATAGAAAAATCCACATGTAAGTGAAGTAGGTGGTTTAAACCAGTGTTGTTCAAGGGTCAACTGTATACAGGTCAACAAGTAATTCACCTGTAGAAACTAACTGATTTTTGAACATTGTTCTAAATGGGAAATACAGTTCACGTTTCTATATAACAATGCCACAACTATCCTCTTCCTGCACAGACCCTAAAACATAAGCTTGCCTGTTTCTGGCCTAGAGAAATTTTCTTTTGCTACCTTATACTAGTGAAGACAGAGTGAGTGAAACAAATGATGAGAATGCTCTGCAAGGAGGGATGACTTATTATTTAGAACTTGGTTTTCAAGTCGTCTTTCTTGGAGTCCTGAGTTTACCAAAGTTTGTTTTTGTTGTTTTTATTATTATTTTATTTATATTCCTTGGAAATGCTACAAGCAGAATTTGAAACTTTAAAATGGTTTTAAAAGAAGACATGAATGTGAGTAATAATTCTTGTGCATGAAAAGTAAAATCTGTACAGATCAGTGTCAGCGTGTGGAACTGGTTATCATGTGCCCAGGCTGACTGTGTGAAGTCTATTCTGGAAAACTGAAAGTCACATTTATGTTTGTCCTTACAATCCTGCTCATTGAAGTTGGGTACACTTATCTTTCCTCTCATTAAAATTTCACTCTGCTAAACTAATTTATCCTGAGAACTAAGTTTGTTCCGAAATTTTATAGTCTATGTTTCTTACTTTAGTGATTTTTTTTTCACTTTGGTGAATTTGACAATAAGGTTGAAAATAAAACCAAAGTAGTTTTTGTGAACACCTATGTACTCTGAAGGGATAACATTCATTTAGATTAACATCTCCAAATCTATAATTCTATCTGAATGTTATGTTTATATGCACAAAGTCTTTAAAAGGGATTTTTGAAAGTTAAGTCCGAAGACCAAGAATATGCCAAATTTATCTCCTATCCAGAATCTAAAACACTCATCTCTCACAAAAACTGCAACCATAAAACCTCTAGAGAGAATGCTTTTTTCTTCTTAGATAGGGCCTTGCTCTCTCACCCAGGCTGGAGTGCAGTGGTACCACTCATACAGTTCACTGCAACAACCTTCATAGCTCACCACAGCCTCCAACTCCTAGGCTCAAGCAATCTTCCAGTTTTAGCCTTTAGTGTAGCTAGGACAACAGGTACATGCCATCATACCTAGCTAATTTTTCTTTTCTTTTTTTTTTTTTTT